GTTTTGCATTTAAAACTATTTTGTTAAAATCTTTAATAAATTATTGGAAAATGGCAGATGTATATTTAGTTCTTTTATTATTGAGTTTTGAATCGGCGGGAGATAAGAAACTTAGAGGGAGATAATGTAGTATAACATAGAAATGTAACCTTCTGGATGTAAGTTGTAACTGTAAGGTATGATGGAAATTTTGTTATTTATGTTTCGAATTGTAGAAATAGCTTAGAGATAGTTATGATATATTTTTAGAGAAATTAAATATTTTACTTGAGTTGATAGCTTTAACCTATAAAGGTCTAACGTTATTCCTATTAGTCCACGAAACTGAAACTTCACCGTAAACTGTGATTGTGAAGGCCAAAGTCAGAAAACTTGAGATGATAATTCATAATGACTAAATGAGCGTTCCACACTTGTTTTTGTAAGGAGTTCTTCCAAGTGTAACATTAAAACTAAGCTTACTTAAAGTTAAAACATCTTTAATTGAATAATTCATATTCCGGAATAAGTATTTACTCAGTTGATTTGTTAGGATATTTTCTTTCAATTCAGAAAAAGCAATTTTTAATTCATTAAGTTCACTGTTCATTGGATATTATTTGCTTATTTTAAATTGCATTTAGAAGAAATTTTTAAAAGTATAAAGACTGGCTTCATAAGGGAACAGAAGTTTACAGTTATAAATGTTTACATGTTACAACTGATTTTTATGTTACACTTACATTGGGAAGAGAGAGAAGTGATGATTTTTATCCTCCACGATTCCATTACAAAATATATAAATTAATTAATTTCACTGTTTTCGTGTTCCATATTTTATGCCAAGTGTCAATGTAGATGATTTAAGACACAATGGGAGTGAGAATAAATATTAAACTTACTCAACCTGTTGTCCTTAAATGTTATTGTTAAGTTATACTTCTAGTGAAGTCCTAAAAAGTAAAATTTCAGAGTAGTAAATTAGGATTTATAGCAGATGAATTTGGTAGTTGAGATTTAGGCTGTGATGAATGAAAGAAATGGATAATAGCAGATCAAGAGTCTAATTTTGGAGTAGGAAATTCCACCAAGATAATTTTAGTTCATTTACTAGTTAGTAATAATTATTGAGTGATAATTAAGATGTAAATTATTTGGACAACCTGTTTGATGCTTCATAAAGAGGCCATACAGTTGAAATCTTAACAGGCCATAATGGTGTTTCTTTTAAGTTTAAGTTATTATTTTGATAATTTAAATAAATAATCTTACTTGTGTAGTGGAAAAAATTATTAAGAACATAATAGAATGATTAGCCAAGAAAATCACATTGGTGAGAGTTAGGAAAAGAGTAGTAAATTGTACTGTAGGAAGGTTGGGTGAGAGAAAGTAAATTAATAATGGAGTTCAGTCAAAATGTACCTTTGTTACTAGTAGAGAGCCTCAAGAATCAATACTTGGGCCTTTCCTTTTTTTATTTACATTACATTTATATACTATATATTTAGTAAATTATATAGTTTGCATATCATATAATATAAAGACAATAAGGGACAGTTTGGTCCTTTAATGTTGTCCTTGCATTATAATCCTTGGAAAAATAAAAACTTAAACCCACCTTTTACTTTTCAAGAAATCATTAATTCTCTCTTAAACTTCCTTAAATTACTGGCCTCCACTATTGTCACCCTTTTAGAAAAATAAAGCTATCTTAACTGGAGTCTCGTCTGTATTTTCCAGTTCTTAAACTTGTGTCGTTTCGTTCTTTTTTCTCCACAATATACCACAAAGAAATTGCCTTTTTCATATTGATTCTCAGGATAATGTTGTAAGCTTCAGTAAGATCAACTCTTACCTTTCTTCTTTTAAGAGAAAAAAAGATACTAACCTCTTCATATAAGATAACCCTACCATCCTGTCTTCTGAACCTTTCCCACAAGTCAGTATCCTTTTTTAGATAAAGAGACCAAAACTGTATACATATTTCCAGTGAGGCCTAACTAGTGATTGTATAGAGAGGTGATTAAATGACTTATAATCAATATAACTGTAAATGCATACTAAAATTCTATTAGATTTACCATTAGAAACAGAGCACTGCCTCCATGGATTAAGTGACTTATACACAAGTATGCCAATCACACTGTTGAGTGACTTCTTATTTATATTAATTGTTGATCCATAATATGATAATCAAAATCCATTGCTTTGCACTTCTTATAATTAAAGGTAATTTACCAAATCTTTGTTTAATCTTAACAGTTGATTCAAGTCATTCTGTAGTACTTCAACATACTTAGTAGACTATTGCTAGAAATACCCAATTTATTGACAAACTTTACTAATTTATTAATTATACTTTGTCAGTATTATTAATGTAAATGAGAAAGAGTAAATCCCCAATCATGGACTCCTCTGGTTCTCTAATAGTAACAATGATCCAGTTTGATTGTCCAGGCTCCATTAACACAATTTAAGGACAAGTGATCTGTTGGTCCATCTAAGCCAACCTAAAAACAAAAAAAATTCAAATCCAGCACTTATCAAACAAATATTTATCAAGCCTTCTCTTAAGCTCCCTTAAATTTACTACATTCACCACATCTGAATGCAAACCATTCTAAAGGTCAGTTACCCTGTTAAAAAAACTGAATTGTCTTTGTTGGAGATTATTCCTACTCTGCTACATCTTCTATTGGTAATCTTTAATCCTACCATTTTCACTGTTAAGTACAAAAGGACATAAGTCGATGACGAGGAACCCACTTTGAGACTAATAATGCTTGGAGATGGCTTGAATGGGTAATGAAGAAAACTTTAAAACTTTGTTCCCCACAACCTTGCATAATGTCCTGCCACACCACAGTAGCTTCTGTATGGCTTCTGGTACTCCTTTGTGATCTAGCATCTTGATACTCACAAGGGTCTGCAGAGATGCAGAATCTATGACAAAGTTGCACTTTTGGACATCCAGCTTTCCTGTCATGTAGACACTATGTGTGTGCTTGGCATTTTACACTTAGCTCTTGGGACTTTCACAATGGAGGTTGGTGGGCGTACCTCAACACCAACCACTACTGGTTTCCTGAAGCTGACTTATTGGTAATATTCTTCTTACACTGGCTCCTCATATGTCCTTGCTCTCCACAGTTCCAACAACCTTTCTGGGTAGCAGCCTTTCCTGCTGTAGCATCTTCCCTGTGTTGAAGTTGCTGGCATTGAGCTCTCTTGTCTCCAGGTTTGCTACAGTGCCAGCAAAGTCCCTCAAACTTCTCCGAAAGGTGTCATTTTCTGGCCTTGAATCATGATGACAGTAACAAACTAGGTACCTCTGTGCTGGACTTAACGTAAGGATGATGCAAATGCCATCCCTACTTCTTTGCATTCTTTTTGAAGGGTTGATATTAGCCATCCTTTCATTTACTTCCTGTTTTGAAAAGTCTTTCTTTACTTGTTTACTTGTTTTTTAATGCAGTGTTTCAATAGACATAGGAAGGTTATATTTATAACCAATCTCTAAATACAATCTATTCCAACTGTAATATTTATTGTTTATCTGTTATTGGCTGGTAATTCCTGTTTCACCCTGTACTTTAACTTTTTAAAGGAACACCAAATTTCTGTAAGAAAGATAACTTCAAGGGGTAATGATGACATCATTTACACTAGAATTATGATTTTTTTAAAATTACTACTAGTTAATACTTATAAAAGCAGATACCCCTTTTGAAACTGTCACCTCAGTGAAATTGGTTGACACCATTGTTTTGGTTTTTGAGTTTTCATGTAATAAAAAAAAAGCAGAAGAAAGAAGAACAAGAAATTCAAACTTTTTGATAAGTGCTCTGTAGTTGTGCCTGTTGTCTGCTGACAACTGTCCAAGTATTTCCAGTGGTTGTCACTTCAAGCTCGTTGCCAGGTACACTGCTTTCTGCTCCTCTGTTCATCCATTCATTTCTGCCTGGAACTCAAACTGTGCTCTGTGTGCTTCACATGGTGCCTTATCATCAAATTCCTGTGGCTTCCTTCATACTAGATCACCCCTATTGCTGACACTCATGTCTGGAATGTGACTTCTGGCAGGACTGAAGATGTCTACATCAGGGTTTAGCTGCGGAGTCTGGAAGGGGCTTCCTGTTGTCTGGAGCTGATTAGGCCCATGGTTGATATATCCTCCTCGTGTAAAATACAGTAAATTGTCCTTTAATGTATTTAATTCACTTTGAAAGTTACTAATCTTTTCCATTTGTGTATGCTGGCTTTATTTCAACTGTTGGAGACTTTCTTCCTGTTTATTTTCTTTCTCCAACCACTGCTGTAATCTCTCTTCTTGTTTCTTTTCTCATTCTTCTTGTTTCTTTTCTTTTTCTCCAACAACTGCTGTAATCTCTCTTGTTTATTTTCTTTTTCTCCAATAACTGCTGTAGTCTCTGTTGTTTATTTTGCTGTTCGAGCTGCCACTGTTGCAGATTTTCTTGCCACTGCTGTTGTCTCTCTTCTTGTTTCTTTTGCTGTTCTTGTATTGCTGCCATCAGATCTGCTGAGCTGTAGTTTGATTTGCCACTTCTTGTTTCCACCTTTCTTTTTTTATTTCTGTCCCACTCTCTGACACCAATTTTGTACGTCTCTGGTCGTTTGTTAATTTCCAGTATAAATTCTTTCCAAGGAACTTCAGCGATACAAGTC